GTGTGTGTGTGTGTGTGTGTGTGTGTGTGTGTGAGCACCCGTGACATCACAAGTGAATGTGGTTAACAACAAAGCACACAGTCAGGGAGGGACAGAATAACACAGCTCATCACTCTGATGTTCAGCTGCAGTTTGAAACAGGACCGTCTTTGTTTCTCATTCACCACAGAATCGTGATGTTTGTGGACTCTTTAAAGCTCTTGCATCATATTTGTGGTTATTCTGATGTCACTTGGTGACTTATAACCTTATAAATAAGTGCAATGATCATGTGAAACTATTTATGACTCTGAAAACAAACATCTGTTGTAACTACACTCTCACAGCTGTGGTGTTTCTGATCACAGGTTTCTTTCCTGAGGTAGGCGGCGCTGTGGCGCTGTCTCCTTTGTCTGTGAATTCATTGTAGCAGAGGTTTCTCCTTTTCTTGTGGATAAACTGGAGCTACTTTCTGCTGGTTAACACACAAAACCTTTTAAATTGTAAATAGTTGGACCCGGTGTTACTCCTTTAATTCCTTTGACGTGTTCATTTCTTATTCCTGAGCTTTCAGCGTGAAGTCGTGTCACTGAATTTTGTTTCCTCTTCGTATCTACAGGTTCGTGTCTCGTCCGTCGTACTCACCCTCATGTAAAACTCTCGTCCGTCATTGCCCGACTTGATCTGGAAGATGTAGAAGGCGCCCGGGTAGCGAGTGGTGGCCTGCATCTGGAAGATGTCTGCAGGCACACTGCGCCCCGACGACAAGTCCATGTGTCGGTACAGAACGGTGAAGGGCTTGTCCCTGCAGGCAGGGTTCTCAGCTGAACACATGCACTGACTGCACAGGAGGACACACAGGAGTGATGGTTAACCGACTGAATGTAACTTTGTGTTGTTTACGACAGAGTGATATAAATATGATGGAGCACGGGTGAAGAGGCTTTTGTTTGGGGGAACCACTCACTTGTCACTAACTTCGACGTAAGGAGAGTGACACAGTAAAGGATCCAGGCATGTGTTGCCTCCCTGGAAATTGAAACATACTTGTGCTGTTGTACAGGTGTTGTTACCAGTGTCACATTCATTGATATCTTCAAAATCAAGCACACAACAGTCAGAGTCAGTTAAAACAGCATCATCATCATCATCATCATCATCATCATCATCATCATCAGAGAATCAACATTGAGAAAACATCAACAAAACCTTGCGTGAGAATGAGACAGAACATCACAATAACATTTGTTTTAAACATTAGCTGATATTAATACTGATGTTACACACATGTACAACCAGTTTAACTTCTTTTTTTATTCTGTACCTATTATGTAAAACATGAATGAAACACAACGAAGACAGAATATGGAAAATAGATTAAAGTAAAACACGACTAAATTATGTTCAAAACTTTCCTGATAAAAACAATTCAACGCAGCATTTTAACAGCTGCTGTTCAACTGACGACACAAACGACTATTCTTTAAGTTCAGTCACTGTTCAGTCATTGTCCTCTTACCTTCACAGCTCCTGCCGTCCTCATACACATAATACCCGGGCGGACAGATGCAGGAGAACGAGCCGGGTGTGTTCACACATCTGTGCTGACACAGAAACTCAGAGAAGCTGCACTCATCCAAGTCTACAGGGAAAACAAATGAAAGTCTCACATCCAAACTGACTCTGGATTCAAGGGATGTTAATGTGATATCAAGGAAAACACTGACCGTGTGTATCTAAAGACATGTTTCATTTCCTTGATTCTCACGTACACAGAATATATCAAACTTTAATTTCCCGACAGTTTGCACAGAAGTCACGATGCGGCGGTTTTAACGTGGCTCTGCTCACCAATGCAAGAAGTCCCATCAGCTGCCAGCTCGAATCCCTCTTGGCAGTTACACATGAAGGAGCCGTAGGTGTTGAAGCAGCCGTGAGTGCACGGTTCATCTTCACACTCGTCCACATCTGCAGGAGAGACAAGGAGGGAGCTTAACACGACACTGGAACACATGCAGAGTGTGTGTGTGTGTTTGTGTGTGTGTGTGTGTGTGTGTGTGTGTGTACCTTGGCAGGTCCTGCTGTCTGGGTTGAGGATGAAGCCGGGGTTACAGGAGCAGGAGTAAGAGCCCGGGACGTTGGCACACAGCTGTTGGCAGTAACCATAGCGACATTCATCAATGTCTGGTCAAAAAAGAAAAACACCGACCGGTTAATAACCACAGTGTAAAAATGATTTGTGTTTTATTAACAACAACCCAGACGACGGTAAAGTACAAAATAAGCTTTATTTTTTTCTTCTTGACAATGTATTGATGTGAAACCCTGATGAGCTGCATCACCAGTCAAAGCATGAAGAGGGCGCTGTTCCTCTAGATGAGGAGCCAAAGCCTTCAGAGGTCACAGAGGCTTGTTGTCAACAAAGACGAGAACTAATGTCGACTTTAAAACTGTACTCACCAGAAATATGGTGTTACTTTAAGGACGCGACAGTATTCCTACTTTGCTTATAATATTTGTACCACTTTGATTGTTTGGCACATTTATTACAAACCCTGTTAAATCTGCCTTTACATTATACTGAAGAGAGTAGAAACCTGCTTGATAGATGTATCGTCACCAGGTACTAGAACTGCCAGCAGGAGGCGCTGTGACATCTCTTTCTTTAAAGACTTCACAGACTAAAGCCACATTATCTATTGTTTACATTCCATATTATTTTAGCACACAAGTGTTTTATTGACAATAAATATATCAGATAACAACTAGACCTCACCTCTGAACCAGCTGTGAATGTAACAGGCTGCATTCACTCCAGTTCACGGTTCACTCACCCTGACACTGTCCACCAATGAGCCAGTATCCCTCGGTGCAGGAGCAGGTGTACCCACCGGCCGTGTTGATGCAGACCTGGGTGGGGTTACAGTGATGGGAGTTGGTCTCACATTCGTCGATGTCTGCAACAGAGAGGAGGAGAAGTCAGAGTTGATCGTCGTCTTTCGCTCGTAAGAAAAAGATTCCTGAGTGGAAGTTGAATCAACAGACAAGGTCGGAAGTCTCACACGGCACGACAGGCATTTAAAGGTTACGTATACGAAATTCATTGCCACTAGATGTCTCGCTAACAGCAGCATCTTGCCCAGTGAAAGTGGCCCTGACACACCCAACCAGAGGACACCCTGTGTACAAGGAAGACAAAAACAACAAAGCAGTGGAGCAGCCGTGCAGATTAAAAGGATCTGTTGGTGTCTGGTCCTTGTCGGAGCCTCTGTGTCGAAGGCTTTGTCAGTAAATATATTTAGTGAAAGCAGATGAACTCTGCATCAGTTTAGTTTGTGCAGCTTGTTGTTATATCCGGCCCCTGCAAACAGTGGTGTCGTGCAGGCTGTATCCAGACGTGCAGCATATACCAACATATTTCTTAGAATGTGGTGGCGTCATTCAGTGATGCAAATGCTAAATCTAAAGTGACAATGTGCAAATACTATAGGCCCATTTTTGGAGAGAGTAGTCTTCATGCCTGAGCTTCATTCTGAGCGAGTCACCGCTTCACTTCTACTGAAGTTACCTCCGGTTCGGTGCCTTGCTCAAATGCACAGCCACCAGACGAGAGTTTATTTCCTGCCGGCTCTGGGGTTTCACAGATAAACATCGAGTCAATGGTTTTGTTTCTCCAACGCTCAGGTTTTCACCGCCCTGTATTCAAAAGCCTCTTAACACAACAGTTAACACCTCTGTAAACTATCAGTTCACTGCTGTTTTTGCACCGGATTAGAGATTTCTCAGGTTGCGCTCTGAATTCCTCTGACGCCTCTGGAGCAGCTCACATACTCCATCATAATAGCTACATTTCCTTATGAGGATATGACATATCAAACATTCCAGACTCTGCTTACGGTTCTCAGACCATGAAGTCACAAATCTCCAGAAAAACCAGCGGGGGAAGTGGGTGGGGGCCCGGCTCTTTGTTTGGTCAGGCAGTGAAGATAAGCGATAACGTCTGTCGGTGGGACTGTTGCCCTTTGTGCCAACTTGGACCACTGGCCCGTCAGGGGGGTGGAGGAGCCCCCGAGCGTTCGGCCACCGGCCAACAGCTACAACGGCCCCGAGCACCTGCTTGGCGTTAGCAGGCGATACCTCTATGAATGGCCCTCAACTGCACCCCGTGTGCAGCCAGATCTCCAGTAAACACACACAAAGTGCAGCGTTTCAGCTCAGCTCCTTATAAAGACCTTTTCATGAGCTGCCCACGAACTCTGGCTGCTGCTGACAATCCTCATCAGCGTCAGAGAAGACGTGACAGATTGTGGGAAGTCGATCAAAAGTATGAAATACAGATATTTTGACACCAGATTTGTGCACAAGCTGATTCAATTTGATCTCCAGTGAGACAACAGCTGACTTCATCATCTCCTCTCAAACTACATAGAAAAGCTGAATAAACCCTGAATGTGATAAGAAGCAACTGAGAGCTGCAGAATGTCAGATATGTTGCACACGCTGCTGTTTTCATCGGGACTATGATGCATTTTTTGAGTTTATCAAAAAGGGTTTTATGAGCCCACAAGGTTTGACATTTTTTCTCAAGCCACAGAAGAACATGTAATCCCTCAATTCAAGTAACAAATGAAAATGCCCCCAACTTGAGTTATGAACGGAAATGAATATTACGGCCCCATGGGAAATGACAAACACAAGATGAGTAAATAAATCTGCTGCTTAAAGGGTCAGTTCACACAAATGACAAAAACATATTCTCTCATGTGTCGCAACAACTTGTCAGCAAAGTGTCAGCAGCCGTAGAGATATGAAGCTGTGAAGCAGTGCAGCACTAAATGCTACCATGTTGATCTTTAATGTGGAATCATGTTAGCATGTTAGCATGAGCACCAAACACAAAGTACAGGCCAGGATGATTAAAATGATAGAAATTAAACTTGCAGGTATATTTAAAAGAAAAATATTGGACACATTAAGATTCTGCCCTGTTAATGTTGCTGGATGAAAAGTTAAGAGATGTTCTGGTAATTTATCTATAGGAGGGACATGAATATATAACAAATGTGTCCATGTTAATGGATGGGACATGGACCAAACTTAAAAATTCAAAGTGCCCGTCAACAAATGTTTTTTCTCTAAGATGGTTTCTTTCATTTTAGGTTTATTTTCTTAGCACACGGGTGTTTGTTCAAGAGGTCATTTTTCCAGTGAGTGTGTTTTTAATTACTTATTATAAAAACAGGGCGAAACGTCATGATTGACAGCTGAGGCTGACTCATGATTGGTCGAGCACGTGCAATTCTCTTGAGGCTTGATGCAGAAAACCCCCGCAGCCTGGTTGTTGAGTTTTAATTTCAAACCGCACACTTAAAGCTTTAAAGGGGTAATTTCTTATACTGTTTTAATCCAGACTGGTGCCATTACTGACGGTTGGAACATTAACTTGAAGACAAAGCCATGTTTGTTACAGCCTCAGACAGGAAGTCACAGTCTGTGTAGTTTCTGCCCCATAGCTGCATCAATCAACAACAGCCCATTACATCACCACACACCAGCGTTCAGGCAGCGGAGGGGCTTGTAACGATTGGCCCCCACAGAGCCATGCCTGTTCTCGGGCACAGATTTGGCTCCACATGACCTCATGTTTGGCATTCTGATGGTGCAGTTTACTCAAACAAGGTTGTGAGCCGATTCCCTGACAGGCTTCTCCCCTGCAGAGAGAAACAGTCCGTATTTGTGCATGACCTAAACTCCACGGTTCTCTTTAGAAGGAGAAAACTGTGCTGCATGTGTACATTTTCCATTCATCACAGGGGCCTCGTCTGATGACAGGAAAACACCTCAAATGGACAACAGAGGCCATTTTCAACAGCCCCCCCCCCCTGCTCGACACACTGGGGTTATTATGTGAAGATGTATTTAACACAGCTG